CTTGCTTGCATCTGATCTTAGCATGCTGATCTTATTTTCCAACCTGATCTTCTGTTTTGGTGGTGCACTGTTTCTTGTTTGTTGATTTTGCATCCAAGGTATTCAGTTATTACTGCAGCCATCCTGTACATCAGTTAGGTTGTTTCTTGCAGTGAACCTGTGCTTGTATTTGATATTACAGTATTGGCATCGTTTAATACTTGTGGTAGCTGTTTCTTTGTAACAAGCTTTAGTGCAGGCAACGTTATTCTGTTGTTTTTGTGCTGTTCTAGTTGCTCAGTTATTCTTTGTTTCAATTCCTGTTGTTTTTTGTTCTTTCTGAGGAGAAGGGTCTACTGTCTGAGCTATTTCTGGCAAGGTTTTGATTTTTTTCCCTTTGGTAGACCTTTGCAGTTCTTCCAATTCTACTTCTGTGAATGGTTTATGTCATGTTATAAATCGACGTTGATCTGTTAGCCTCTGTTCTGTTATTTCTGATTCTGGATGTTGTTCTTTCCATAAGTGGTGCATTCTTTTCAGATATCCTCTTCTCGTTGTACTTGATTTGTAATAGCAGATCATTATATCTTTGCTTTCTGTCTTTGTATATTTGCGATGGCTAAATTACCTTTTTCCCAGTAGTTCTGCTGCTGTTGGCCCTGGTTGCCGAAGCAACAGTCCTGAGTCCTGTATCCCACTTGTCACCAGATGTCCAGGAACTAGAATACCTAGCGTGGTCCTTGTTGACCTGGGTGACAACAGATCCGGTATGGGTTTCTGTAAATTATGGCTTGTCACATTGTTTATGGGAGAGACACTCTTTGTCTGGCTCCTTTGATGAGACCTGTCCAGTACAGTTGAACCTCTGGCATAGTTCTGATCCTCCTCAGAGCATGCAATCCCCACAACCATGTCAAGGTAGTGCCTCACTGGGGGATGATGATGATGATGATGATGATGATGATGATATGAGATGATATGATATGATATGATATGATATGATATGATATGATATAGCAGGCCTGGGAAAGCTTTTGATGGCAAAGGACAGCACAGCGGGGGTGGGGGATGGGGGGGACTGAAAACCACAAAGTGGGTAGGAACATATCACACATGGGATTGAGGTTTCTGGGGGATCTATCTATCTATCTATCTATCTATCTATCTATCTATCTATCTGATTTATATCCTACCTTTCCTCCATGCAATCAAGCCAGCATACACAGCACAATTTTCTCCCAGGAGATCAACTCTGTGAGCCAGATTTGGCTAAGAGAGAGTGACTGGTCCTAAGGGAACCCATGAGCATCCATGGCTGAGGATGGACTTGAACCTGGATCTGCGGGTCCTACTTCAACATTTTAATCACTATACCACACTGATAGTTTTCTTTGCTTCTTGATTGTGAGGTGCCTATTTTAGGAATTACATTGCAGTTTTACTGGGGGAGGGAAGCAGGTCACTGTGCTACTAGTTTTCAGTAATTATTGAAGACACAGAAAAGGATCTGAATTCTCTAGAGAGAAACTCAGGGGCCACAGATTGACCACCCCATAATATAGCTGTTATTGTTGCACAGTCAGCCAGTTGTTTAGACTGGATTGGCATTTTTATTCACCTGAGTCCTTCCCAAGGACCTGGGATAGGCAGATGTTGTTGTTTGATGGTGTTTAAAACATTGTTGCAGGATGTAAGTTGTTCCAAGTAAAGCTGCCTTATGCAATTGACTGATGGTGATTTTGTCAATGCTGATGGTGGTGGTAGTGGTGGTGGTATTACTACTACTACTATTATCACTATTATTATTATGCCTTCATGACTCCTGGCGACTCCCTGGACTGGTCCCTGCAGTAGTTTTCTCAGCAAGATTTTCAGAAACGGCTTACCATTGTGTTTTCCAAGGTCTGAGAGAGAATGACTGGCCCAAGGTCACCCAGCTGGTTTTGTGCCTAAGAGAGCTTGAACTCACAGTCTCCCTGTTTCTAGCCTGGTACCTTGACTACTACACCAAGCTGTCTCTCTACAATATAGTTATAGTGGTTTGAATATCAGCTTCTAAATTGCTTACCTTGATTTAAAACTGTCTGGTGGCATGAGTTCCAATGTATGTGTTGGGCCATATAGATTGACGACATACAGCTTTACTACTGGATTCAGTTCACCTGCCTTTTAACGAAGTGAAAAAGTTTCAGTATTGATGTAATATGAATGGAATAATTACATACAAGTCACATAGATATCCAATTGTCATTTACCACACAAATTAACTGAATTGATATGCCTTGACAGAGGATTAGGTGAGCCTAATTTGATGGCCATGCACTGGCATACACAATAAGACCTACATTCCTACAAACTTATTTTCCTTTCCTTGTGCATACAAATAACTGGATAAAATACTGAAAAGGGATGATGTTTTTGTAAGGAGTGAAAACAATTGTAAAAAGTTCCATATGCACCAGCTTGGCCCAACAGTAGTCATAAATACTACCAGACTAGCCTACTGAAGTAAAACACTGCAAGAAATAAAACCTTTGGCCTATATTATTAGTTCACTTGCTTCATAATTAAGATGAATTTAAAATAAACAGAAAAATTAAAGGTTACAATTTTATTAACAACATAAATCTGCTTTCTACACAATAAATTATACTAGACTTTTATAATTTCCTTTATCATAAGTTTAATTGAATTTTAAATTTTATCCTTTGTTCTGTGTTTCTTTTTGTACTGCACAATTAGAAATTGCTAAAGAAAAGTAATACAACAATTGTAGAAATTAATTCTGCTTCTACAAAAAACGTCAAAAATATTAACTGATCTATTACATTTAATTTTACATGCTGTAAAGACATCTAACAATTTAATAGTTTTAAAAACTCAGATGGAATAAATGTAATTGTCAAACAGATCTTAGTCCAGACTAATAAATTATTTGGGTTTTAAAATATTTGTTTATTTATTCAATTTCTAAGTTGCCCATTGACCAAATTGGCAAATCTGGACGGCATGCAAAGGGCTAAAGACAAATAATGACAAGAAAACAACAACAATAAAAAAAGAACCATGCTGGGGAGGGGAAACAGACTTCTTTAGCAAGTTCATGCATCATTCATCCTGACCCAGATCCATGCTAAGCCACATGTTTGATTCTAATATTCATAGGTTCTCAGAGGCCTTTCAATAACTAATGCAACACCCATAGCACTGATGTTAAGTGATTATGATGACTATTACCCACTAGCAGACTGCTTATTTTGCGCCAGCTGCAGTCTTCAAAAGCAGCCTCAGATAAAACTCATTGCAATAGTCTATCCTAGAAGTGATGACTACATGATTTACAGTCTCCAGGACCTCTAGCTGGAGGGTTGCTCCAGGCTGAAGCACACAGACTGAAATTTCCAGACTATCCAGCCATGTGCCTACTTAGCAGTAGCTATGAGTCTAGAGAATTTCCAAGATGGGGACTTGCTATTTTTATATTTATCCATTTACTGCACAGACTCTGTTACAAGAAATAAAATATTGGGAGAAATAGATGAATGGAATTTGATCCTGAGTATAAATGTGGACATGCAGAAAAAGGTGAAAAACAAGGAAACCCCTAGGCCAGGGGTAGATACAAGCTACTAGAGATAAGCACTGAAAGCAATCCATCAAGACTAGACAAGGACTGAAGGACATAGGTAGAGATAAGAAAGTTAACAGTTAACCACCATGCATCAAGTTGCTGTGACCTAGCAACCTAACAGGTTAACAAAAGGACAGCCCAGATGACACATGATGGAATTCAGCTGGCAAAGGATAAAAGGACAAACTGCAGAAACCTTGCCAGAGCACCCTCTTTCATGCATGCAACCATTACTCCTGTCCTCCCCAATCCCCATGCATTTCTTGGCCCAGTGCAGCAGAGCGAGTATGAGTAAGTATGTGCCTGACTGTCTGTGTGTATCTGTAATGCTGAAGCAACAGAATTTAATAAAGCTTTTGTAGGTTAACAGAGTTTGTGTGCTGTGTATTCCCCTGAGCATGTCATTACCGCTAAGATCCTGAACTCTTGTATCTCAGTTGAGAATGTGTGAGTGTATCTCACCCATCTCAGATCAAGTGAATGCATAACTAAGCCTCAGCTGCCAGGTGAGGGTTAGGTAGATTGCAAGGGAGGCAACTTGTATGTGTGCCTCAGTTGGGAGCTTGAAAGAGGAAACAAATGAGGGAACTAGAAATGGAGGAATTTCTGTTACAGATTATTGGATGAAATCAAATATTCCACAAATAGTGCAATGCAATCTTCCTCTCCTTCATCTGCACCTTGCCACACATTCTCTACACACACTCCAGAGCAGACTGTGAATGTCCATAGCTACAATTTGCCAAGGAAGGAAGGAAGGGAGAAAGGGAGAAAGAAAATTCTGCATCTGATGAAATATCACCAGACCTTACTGAATTATATTCTGAGTAGTATAAGGCAATAAATACATCTAACATGTAGGCAAATCATCATATTGTATTTCTGCAAGACACAGATCACTGAAGAGGTGTGATGTTGTTAATGAACTCTAACAACATATATTCTATTCTACATTGCTGAACAATTAATAGAAGACTAATAATAGTACAACATATATTAATTGTTTCAGTGTATCCAAAATTACTAGGTCATCTGGTTACCCCTGATTCATTTCAGATTTCGACAGCTATTTATAAGAACAAACCCCTTTGTTCTTTCAGACTTTCTCTTAATTATTAATCCACTGAACAATTTCCTTCCTCTGTGAATTTGCAAAGCAGATAGTAGTTATTCCAATAGCAGTGTACAACTCTTTTCAAATTATTTTCTGGCTCAGATTAAACCCATGATGAAGTGTCTGCAGTTCCCTCCCTGACCTGTCTAACATCCAAATTAAATTGTCATACATCCATCTACACTTTTGGTATATCCATACTTAAATATGCAGTTCTGTAATAGCATTTTTAAAAGGTTATAATAGAGCTGAAAAATATGCAAAACAGGGTAAGCAAACTTATTAAGAAGCTGGAGTTATCACCCCATCAAGAAAGAATACAGTGTGTGGGATATTTTACCTTAAAAGGGAGGCGAAAAGGGGGGATACATACATGCAAACGTGTGTACGTATATCATACATAGTAGAGAAATTGCAGACAGAAATAGTTTTTTCTCCCTCTTGCACAATACTAAAAATCAGTGCCTTGCCCTAAACTAAATGCAATTGTTTTGGGACCAGTAATAAACAAGTATTCTTTAATAACTAAACCACAGAACTTTCAGCATCAAAAGCGATGTAGGTCACCAATTTATATAGTTGTAAAAGAGAACTAGAAAAATCCATGTAGTTCAGGCCTATCAGTGGCTGCTAGGCTTGATGGTTGTTGTGATCTTCTAAACCAAAGGCAGCTGACCTTCTTGTGTGCTTTCAAGTGATCTGTGTGACGTGACATGATGGACTAAACACTTTGGCCTGACTCAACATGACTTTCATTGGGTTCTTACAAAAATAATTTGGTTTGTCATTGAATTCTAAGTGGGAGAGCATTTGGTTATTATTGATTAGTTTCAGTGGAGAATTAAAGACTTGTCTGTATTTCTTCCAAATGAAACAGAAGAAGAATACAGCTTTTGACAACCATATCCAAAACCTTAACTAAGCAGATATACACAGCTGCTATTCTAGTTAATTCTGGACTAAGTTAAACATTTTTTAAAATTACATTGGTTTACATGGGAGAAAAAGTATCACATTCAAATTTTCTATTACAGTGAATGGCTGAAAAGTATACTAGTATTTTCTTTTACCTTTCCATTAAAAAAAAAACACACAACTTTTTTTAAAAAAAACCCTGAGTTTTGTGTGTTGTATGAAATAAAGAGAACCACACATATCACCAATTGGTCTACTCCATTAAAGGTTAACAAAAGGAGACCAGCAGAATTACTCAGCCACTGGGGTGTGTCCATTTTGCCCACCAGATATTTCCTTCCTTCCTTGTTCTTCTTTTGCTATTTTGCACAATTGAGTGCCTAAGACGTTTTGTGCTTCATTTGATGTTAGTCATATTTTGCCAAGTGGTGTGCATAGCATAGGAAAAGGCTACTTTGCTGAGTACTACCTGGAGGTAAAGTGTTGCCAGAACATTCTACATCATACAGTGATTGTTTGACCTGATGGAAGAGGTTAACAGCCTGAAGTCCACCGAATCTTGACCATAGGAAGGAACTGGAATAATCCGAGTTCCTCAACCTGCTTTCATGTTGAATAGGTGACAAAACAACTAGATTGGTTCATTGCAGCCAAGGTGGATGTCCACAAAAGTCTCCTGGGACTGGGATGCCTGTAATTATCTCTGGGTAACAAAGATTTGCTTATTATTAGGTAGTGGGGTTGTTATCTTCAACCCCAATGACTTGCATAATGTTTTCTTCTGGTAATCGTGGGTGAAGGGAGCAATGAAATAAGCCATACATTAATAATGAAGAAAGTATTACCCAATTTCCTTACCTTTGGATATGGATACTGTTTTCCTTTGGGATACAGAAATCCAGTAAATCGAGGAATAAGCATGTTTGGTACTAATGAGTCATTTATCATAAGGAACGCCAGCCTCTCTCCATCAGGTGACCACCAGTGAGTAATGTGAGAATGAAGCAGCTCCTCTGGGGGAAAAAAGTATTCTTAAAACCCATGAAATTAGCATTTTGTGTCATATTTACCAGTAAATATTGCCTTTTGGAATTCCATTGAAGGACATTTGAGACATTAGTTTTATTTAAACATTTTTGTCTTAGAAACATAAAACAAAGAGCAAACAAACTAGAAAAGATGATATCCCTTATCTTAAACTGAATGGAATAATTCACTTTGCCCTGAAATCCACACTTCAAAATTATTGAGCTACACTCCTGCACTCAGGTGAAAATAAGTAGAATAATTTCTGGAATACTATCTAAAAATATATCCCTTATCTTCCCTATGCAAGTTGTTTGTCTTGAGGTAAAACAAACAAACCAGATTTCTGAATTTCATATTTACATGATAAGTTTTTAAAAATGAGACAACTTTGCAAGAAATGTTAAAAATAAAAACTGTGTAGTTGGTGTCTTGTTTGTCCTATATAGTGCTGGCTGCAACCCTGTTGATTCTGTATATGATGTTGGTTATTTTTTGATGGACCATGTAGTCTTTGTAGAGTTTGTAGAGTTTCTATGGGTTTGTGGACTACTGTGATGCTTAGTGGCTGGAGTAATCAACTGGCACGTTCTGATACATTTCTAATGTGCAGGGATGTTATTGTGCGAGTCCTCGGGGTGTCTTTCAATTCTTTGTTTTGTTCTCTGGTGCATTTGTTTTAGAGCATTTGGAGTGGGGTAACTGTTCTTCATGAAGGAGGTACTTGAATCCTCCTTTTCTGATAGTGCTGGTGAACTGCAGTGGCTTTTGCTCAGTTGACAAGAGTTCTTATACAGCTGATTTTATGTGTTGTGGGGTGGTTTCTATGGAAGTATAAGTGTTGTTCTATGTTGGTGGATTTTCTGTAAACTTGGGTTTGCAGGCTGCTATCATTCAGCTTAGTGATGAGGATGCCTAGGGATGGGAGTTTGTTCTCTTCATTCATCTCCGTGCTTTGTTTAAAATCAACCTGTGCTTCCCAGGTAGCATCAAATTACCATCCAACCCCACATAATTCACTGTAAGCTAATCTCCACTTCTGAACCATTGCACGGAGGAAGCCTCCTGGGAAAGCAAGATCAAACATCTGCAAAAGATATGGTCTCTACTTTGGTACTGATTTCCCTAAGCCTACAGTACCAACTAAAAGAATGTACAATGAACCTGGGCTACCACAGTCCCAAGAAATCTTGAAAAATGTCCCGAAATAACTTTTTTTTCCCCTTCAAAATTTGAGCAAGGTTAAGCTTTCTGGCACTGAAGTTCATACAGCAATTCTTATTATGCAATTTACCTTCATATAACCAGTCTGCAATTCCATTAAAAACAATTCCTTCTTTCCCAGAAGATGTCAATCTCAAAGAGCTGCTTTTTACATCAGGCTGGTAATAGATGTTATTTTCGAAAATATAAATCTAAGTTAGGTAAAAAGAATTACATGTTATGTAATTAGTTAATATTTTCATGTTCATTGTCAGGAAATTGTTTCTGAAATTAATGAACTATTTTAGAAGGAAAATAGGGAAGAAACAGAGAAAGTATTTGTGTTGAAAATCAAATAAACTGCAATAGAAGGCAAGGTTATGTCATGCTGTGAACACTGTAATTGCAATGTCAATTGTTTTACAGATTGATAATCTTGCTGCTTCCTTTCCCTCATTTTTATTGTATTTATAAATTTAGCCATATAGAATAAGCTATATCTTCCAGATAGAAAAGGATATTTTCTGACTTAGAATAAAATCCTTAAGTAAGAAAAGATATGTGAAATCCAAGAAGTGTTTTTATATTTTGCAATACTTCAAAATATGTCCCATATCTTGCACAATATCACACAATGGCTGCATATATATAGAATGGCAAGCGTTCTCCAGAATCAAGTCTTCTTGTTTGGTGCCTATGCAGCTAATTTCTTTAACACCAATACATATAAAACCCCCATTCCAAGAATTTCTTCCACAGCACATCTTTGGATTCAACCCATAATGTATTTATTGTCAATAAAATCAGTCCATTGCAGTTATATTCTGATAAGATGTTCTGGGTGGCGGGGGTATATTGACCCAGAGCCTTTTTCTGGTTTTGGTACCAGACACATTTGAAAGAAAATGTTAGGAAAGTGTTATATTATTTTTGCTTGCATTTATTTATTTATTTTATTCTGGCAGTCTTAAATTAAAACATACAGCACATTTAGGCTGTTGGGGAGCATGGAAATCATATTCACTAGAGAAGTCACAGGCAGTTTCTCAAGCATATGCAATATAAACATTTTTTCATTTTTTCCCCCCAAATTTCAAAAGATAGTTTGGGAGAGGAAAAGTTTTATACAATAGTTTTTTTTTAATTTACTAAAAGAAATATACTAATGTTAATAAATTACATTAATAAACATAAACATGACAAATACAGGACAAATATTAACAAAACATATCTGAATTAATAGTTAATAATATAAACACAATATATATAATATAGTATTGCAGGCTGTACAATAGTATTGTGTAATATTTTTCAACTTTATGTCATACATGAAGGCTCCATAATTCTTGATATCTTGATGTGCAAGCCTTAGTCATTGTATTTATATCTATAGTTTTTATTGACTGCCCACTTCACAAGGACTTGAGGTAACTGCATCTTGGATCAACAGCAATTGCTTTAAATCATATTATAATCTAGCTATTTCAAACCAAGATATAGCAGTAACAGGATAAGCCAAAGTTGTGTCAAGTCAATCATTCAACTCTTGAATTGCATCTCAGAAGGCTTTATGCAACTGCTTTGACTCCTTTCACAAGTCTTTTAGGCAAGCCTGAAGATCTGTAGAAGACACTTCTCCTGAGATAACTCACAAAGTAAAGCGCCAATTCAGGAGGCAAACATTGGGGCAGTAGTAGTAACTTCTCCTAAACTCCTCTCCCTTTCTCAGAACAAAGGTGTGCGTGCTTGTATCTTTTCAAACCATCCTGTTGATCTCAGGTATGAAGGAACAAAACTTACTGCCAATACTAAAGTGCAATTCAGATGCTAACCCAGTGGGTTTTTTTACATGGAAAGAAGTTCATCTTAACTTTTGTCTCAGGCAGCAGAATGTCTTTTGATTGGCCTTGCTTTTAAAGAGCATAATTAAATGGAACAGCTATGCTCTACCCATGAAAAAGCTGATTCTACAGTTAATAGAGCTTAAATTAATTAAGAGTTCTGTATTTGAAAATTATTAATTTAGGTGGAATTTCTGTTTTCTAAGGGAATGAAAAGGTGTTTTAATTAATGTTTCATAGTTTAAATGTGGCCCATTAGTCTGGTTACATGAGTGAAAACAGTTGGGTAAGTATAATACATCAAAGATAATGGATTATTCATTGTAAGTTACAAGGATCAGCAGGTTTTGTGACAATTTGCACACAGGTTTAATAACCTCCTTAAATTTAATGTTCCAGGCTAACAGATAATGTGAAATGTGTTCAAACATAACAGGAACTTTTCTCTGCTTTTAGTATATATATAAGCTCATCTTATATACTATATATCCAGGAATTTTTACTCTTCCCCTACAGGTTTTGTTGACATCCTAACAACAATGTCCATAATTTTCTTCCACATTCAATCCATACTTGCTCTGCCAGAAAGAAGTAGACACCAGTGGAGGCATCATACCTTGGTGTGGGGGGTACCTCAGGGCTCTACACTCTCACTCCTTATGTTTAACATCTACATGAGGTCCCTGGGTGAGGTCATCCATTGGTTTGGAGTCAGGTACAATCAATATGTGAATGACACCCAATTATACATCTTTACCCCAGACAAAGCAGGAGGTGCTGTCAAAGTCTTGATTATTTTTACTGAATGCTGCTCAGAGTTGTTGTAGGGTTGGGCAGCCTTATACATTTCTAAAATAAATAAAACCAAGGAAGAAGCAAGGGCAGTGATTTTCTACCATCTTCCTTGCAGCCCTTAGCATTCCATCCCAATCTATGTTAGAGGATATCCTGATACACTGCAGAGCAGCTTTTCAGAGTGAAGGTAGAAAATACATACATGAGCAATACCCTCTTCCTCCAGTATGAGTTAAGAACTGCTAAGCATATTTATTTATCATATATTCCTATATTCTAGTACCCTACAAAATGGCCTAAACGTAGTAGAAGCCCATGGGGAAAATACCTCACAGATTATCAGGAGGGAAAGATATTTCAAATAGCACAGTAGTGCTGGTATACATACTGTAATGATGCTGCTGCTAACGTTACCTTGATGGTGCATTTGTCAAAAGAGTTAAAGCAAGGATGAGGGAGATAGATTGATAGATCTATTACTCTGTCACATTTGGCTCTTCTTTTCACTTAAAGGTAGTCAGTAGATACTGGAGAGGAAAATGATTTGACAAGAGTCAGAAGAGCTGAAGTGCTAGGTCCACTGTGCCAAGTATACAGAAACATAACAGAATGATGAAAAATTTTGATGTTGGAGTTATTCAGAGTGGATTTCTAGGAATCTTTTTCAAACATAAATGTGGTCAGCTATGCCATTTGGTCATGCATTTTCTCACCACAGACTTTAATAACTGAACATAAAATTTTCTAGTTACCATTGCAGCAAAGTCTGGTATAAGGTTTTTTTTCCCCCTCAGCTTAATTTGATACTGCTGGCTAAGATAATGATATGCTTTCAAGATGTTTTTCAATATGGCCTAGTTGCATATTCATTAGTTCTTTCTCCTATTATTTCACCTGATGCTAATACATGCACAAAAAGTGATGAAATAAATAAAAAAAACCCTACCCAATATTATAAGCCTGTATAACTAAATATAAATATGCAATGATCATACTATCTTTCCAGATCAAACTATATATGAACTTCTTTGACGTCTGAAAGAATGATTAACAGTTTTAGAGCCTAGATGCAGACTGAGAAGCTGAGAAATGAGTAGA